TATGTAATTAAGTGATTTAAAGCGCCCAGACTGGTTTCAGTGTATTATAATGTAGTACATTTATCAAACGATAGAGGGAAGTTCCAGTAGAGCAGGTTATTCTCCCTTAGCCTAACAACAGAGGATTATGAAAAATAAAACATCATAGATAAAAATTGGCTATGAGGAAAGTTCTCTTACACATTTACATTAGGAATAAACTGGAAATGCATAAAAGTTACAAAATGGAGTCTAAGGACAAGTAAGCAATTTTATTCCCTCCCCCACAAGTTAATTTTTCTGGGTTTATTCATTTATCATCTTCAATAGATATTTATGACCTATAACTCAAGGCATTTTTTTAATTAAGAAGTCAAGTACCAAAGATTTTTAAATGTGTAGTTATAAATCCTGCTGCAATAAAACAAAATCCAAGTGCAGAATATTGAGAACTGTCTCCTTGGTTAGTGCTTTGTGGATTTAAAAGATCATTATCTCTGGAAAAGAGAGAGATCGCTTTTTTTCCTTTAGGTGGAACAAAGCAGTTGCCCTTGACCCTAGACAGGGATGGAGAATTTAGGGGACACTGGTATAGTTGTGTTCCTGGTTATCACAGGTACAAAAAGAGCTCTCTATTCCTGCTCATAACCAGGAGGAGGCAAGAGGCCTCCGAGAGTCACGTGGAGCCTGGGGAAGATGCTGTCAGAAAAGCTGCATCTCAGGGCAACCAGAATTAATCTTACCATTCCCTTGACCAGATCACTATACGAGGCTGGTCAGAAGCAGCTATCATGAAGAGTATTCATGCATTTGCTAAAAAAGTAGCCTCTGTGCTGTCCAAGCACCTTGTGTTTTGTTTGTCCTTTTTTTCCTTGTGTAGGGAATTGAATTGGACTAATAGGAAAAATTATTTCTATTAGAAATCTACATATTCACATCAAAGGTTTTCTCTAAAAGTCCGAATGTCTGAAAAATATTTGCAAAAATTGTAATCACTGTTTAGCTCCTTAAGTATTGGTAAATCAACAGATGGATGTTAATTTGCATTTATGTTCAAGATTAGATGGATTTGGGAGTCCTACTTCCATCCCTGCTGCCATTTGGAAATGACAATATCATGCTTACTGCCTTTAATTCTAGTTATTGTCATATTTCGCGTCTCATGATTTCCGGAAAAAGCTAGACTGTCTCTCCCCATGCGCCAGCTATTGGTTACAGAGCTTGGTTTCATAATTTCATAATCACAGCACTGTCCATAGTAAATTTTAGGAAATTACAGAAAACTAATCAATGTAAGGCATATGAAACCTATATTAGCCTAATAATAATTTAAAATTATTAGGCTCATAAAAACTAATTTTAAAATAATCAAGGAAAACTGTGTAAAATGACTGAAATCCCATTTTAATTAGCAATTTTGTTAATTTTCCTGATTATAAAAAGTTGGAGAATTTCCATACTTTATTTTATTTAAAAAATGAAAATGTTAGTTAAGTGAGTTTGTTGGGGTTTTTTTAAGATTTTACTTATTTATTCGAGAGAGAGAGAGAGAGAATGAGAGCATGCGAGTGGGAGGAGGGGCAGAGGGAGTGAGAGAATCTCAAGCAGATTCCACGCTGAGCGTGGAGCCTGATGCAGGGCTCGATCTCACGACCCTGAGATCATGACCCTGAGAAATCAAGAGTCAGACGCTTGACCAACTGAGCTACTCAGATACTCCTAAGTGAGTTTTTAGATCATTCTAGACCAGGCCAGAGCACTTCCTGGAAGATGGTAGGCAGTCAAATATATTTAACTGTTGGATGAGGTGAGGGGTTAAAAGAGCAAAATACAACCTTTCCAATAGCTTATAAAAGGAAGAAAAAAGAATTAATAGACACATGTTTTTCCTAAGGGAAACCTATTGAAAATATGATTTTATACCTTTTAATCAAACACACTGAACTTTAATTGATGCTGCTAGAGTAACAAGAGTTCATTTTTACATGTTGCAAATTTAGAAATTGAGATTATTTAAACAGGAGTTAAGATGAAGTTTACTTTTACTTTATGTTTAAAAAAAAAAAGTTTCCTAAGAAAGTGAACAAAGTAAACAAGCTCACTGAGATGTTCTATCTATGAGAGATGGTAAATCATTTTCAAGCAAGTTCCTCCCCACCCCCTTGCCACATCTGTTGAGAGCTCAGTCTGTAGGTGTGTTAGTTTTCTACCGCAGTTTTCTAACAAATTAGTATCAGTTTAGTGGCTTAAAACAAGACCAATTTCTCTTACAATTCTGTTAGAAGCCTGACATGAATCTCACTGGGTTAATATCAAGGTGTCCATGGGGCTGCATTCCTTTCTGGAGGCTCTGGAGGAGAATGGGAGACTTTTATTTCCTTACCTTTTTCAGTTTCTAGAAGCCATCTCCATTCCTTAACTCAATTCATGGCTCTCTTCCTCTGTGTTCAAAACTGGCAACATTGTATTCTCTGACTCCCTCTTTCTTACCACGGCTGGATAAAATTCTCAGGTTTTAAGGACTTATGTGATTACATGGAGCCCACCCAGATAATCCAGGAAAATCTCCCCATCACAAGACTCTTACCTTGAGTCATATCTGCCAAGTCCTTTTTGTCACATGTGATAACGTATTCACAGGTTCTAGGAACTGAGATGTGGATCTTTTTGGCGGCCATCTGTGTACACAGGGAGAGGTAGCGTTTAGTTCACAGGACTATGAGCCAGCATCAGAAGATACTGATGGAGATTGACTTATTTTTAAAAATTGGTGTATAATAATTCATATTTATTAATGAAGGCAATTATCATCAACTTCTTTTAAATAAAACTTTCACTAATTGTTTGAAATGTTTTTATGTATATACAGTTTTTAAAATAATTTAATGATTGTTTAATGGTAAGTTATTGTTTAATAGTAATAATTCCATTGCCTTCCACAAGTCTATGTATTTCACATAATTTAATTATATAACAATATAGCTTTATATATATGAACTATCTTATATTCTGTTTTCACCCAATTCTTAGATATACTTCTATCCGAATAGGCCATATTTTATTAAGTTTTACTGCTGATGTTAGAGATTTATGTGTTTACAGTTTCTTACTAATGTAGATAATGCTTCACTGAACATTGACTTATTTATACAGCTGTTTTTGCTTTTATTCAATAGGGAAAAAATTCCTTTGAAAGAAATTTATAGGGTAAGAATATATGACTATCTTCAGGTTGTCTACACATTCCCCTCTTCTTATTTGTTTATAGAACCATAATTTTGTTCAGGTATTGACTATATAAGAAGCAAGTGCCATTGTTGGGATTATGGGTTTGTGGTCCAGGGTGTTTTGGATGTTCAGGGATGTTGACTTCAATTTGAGATATATGACCTAAGGACAAACTACCAATTAAGTGTAGGCCTCAAGAGAGACCTTGGGTTCAATGAAAATGTCCTGTGAGCAACAAATGCAAGCCCCATTTAAAATTTTAAATTTTCCAGTAGTGACATTTTTTAAAAAGTAAAAAAAAAGGAAGCAATGCCAATGTTAATAGTATATTTTATTTTATACTATATATCTAAAATCTTAACATTTCATTATATAGTCATTATATATTCCAACACCTCAATTTGTTCTGGCCACATTTCAAGTGCTTCATGGTCGTGCACAATTAGAAAGATGAATTTAGGAGCCAGTTATAAAGTCAGCACCTTTCTTTGCTTGTAAATGTGAACCTGTGTTTGGCTTGTTTCCGGGGATTTTTTTTTTTTTTTTTTTTTTTTTTTTTGTTAGTAACACTGTAATGAACAGTCATATATAGAACTCCTGGCGCAGGCCTTGAGGATGGCATATTCCCAGGCTTAGGATGGCTGGCAGGTAGTAGGTGAAATGATGCTCACTTTATTCTCCAAGGTGGTTGCTCCAGTCTACATGCCAGCTATGGTGTGAAAAGAGTCCTTATTGCTCCTGCCCCACATGAACATTTGGAAAAGTCTCATTTATTCATTTTGTCAAGCTAGTGGGTGTAAAATTGTTTCTCATTTCCTCATAATTTGCATTTTTCTGATTCTTAATGAGCTGGAAGACCTTTTCAGAAGTATATGAACCTTCATTTTTTCCTCTTCTATAGATTTCTATGGAAATCACAAATATTTATTCTTTCAAATATAAATATACTTAGATATATGTCATATATTCATATATGTGTCACATTATATATTTATTCACAAATATTTTTTGAGTGGTATCTATTAAGTATTGGTCTAGGTATTGGGAATATACTCATGGGAGGAAAAATAGTCCCAAATCTTGCCTTCCAGGAGTTTATATTCTAGTGTGTGTATATGGTGAAAAGGGAGAGACAAAAACAATTTAAAAAGTGAAGCAGCATATGTCAAGTGTTGTTAGCAAACCTCGGTTTAAGTCCGGCTCAGCCATTTTACGTCAAGGCTTAACTTGGCTTCTGCAATTGTAAAAAAGAGATGGTAATAATACTATCTTCATTGTTTATTCAGTGCATATGAAGAACTTGACACAGCTCTGGCAAATTGTAAGGAGTCAGAAAATGCTAGTAATAAGTATCGTTTCCCCCTTTTTTGCTTCTCCTTTTTCTCTGTAATTTCTTCTCAGAACTTCTGAAGTTTAAATATGTTTTGGTTTGTTGAGGTGTTGGCTTTCATCAGGGTGTCAGCCTATTGGTACTTTCTGTGACACGACAGATGACCTTAGCTAATTTTGAGATGTGTTTTTGAGATTTCAAGAGTCTTAAATCCCAAGAACCAAGAGCCTGAGAACGTGTACTTTTTAAAAAGCTACATCATGTCAAATGCCAAAAATGTGGGAAAATCTGTAGGAATGCCTTGTATTCATTCACGGCTGTGTCCTGTGAATGTAAATTTTGCCTGAATTAATCATTTCAATCTAACAACCAATTTACTGTAAACCATGCGCAAAGTACTGTATAGAGGAGATGCATGTGACCTTGTTAATATTTGGAACAATTATTTGTCCTTCTTTCTTAGATCATGATGTTGAAAATGATCTTCAATCAGACATCAGTTGAGCACTGCAAGACTCACACTGAAAAGCTGAAAGAATGCAACTTCTTCTTAATAGCTGTTCGCCTGGCTTCACTGAACCAGATCTTGGATCCCTGGGTTTATCTGCTGCTAAGAAAGATCCTTCTTCGAAAGTTTTGTCAGGTAGCAAATGCTGTCTCCAGCTGCTCTAATGATGGACAGAAAGGGCAGCCTATCTCATTATCCAATGAAATAATACAGACAGGAGCATGAAAGAGAACACCTAATCAACTTGCATGTTCACAGCTTTTGGTAACAAGTAGCCATAAACCTTACTGTGAATTTAGGCATCTCTGGCATGCCACTGTTTATGCATTGAAGGAGAATTTTGATATAAGGCTAAATGGTCTCAGAGGCATAGATAATCCCCCGTGTGCCAAAAGTAAACAAAGGAAAATATATTATTAACAGTCTAGTGTTTTTGGGTCTCTGCCATTTGTAGCTGAATATGTGATTATTTATGAGATGAAAACATTTTTTTATAAATGATCTTGGTCTGTGGTGGGGATGGAGTGGGGAAAGTTAATATTCCAGTATACCGAGTACACGGGGGATTGAATCCATAGATCATCAGAGATAGACAAAAATTTGTTTTTGTTCAAGGACCTTGGTCTTCTGTATTCTCTTTCTTTCTTTCTCTCCATGTCACTCTTTTCCCCTTATATTTTTTAAAAAGTTGCATTAGGATAAAAAAATATAATGTATCCATAATGTTCAGTGGTATTGATGTAAATATTGCTCAATACATAAATTATCTGTTGAACTTATAAAGTTTAAGTTTTCGTTGTGTCTGTAATTAGATTTACTCATTATCTAAATAGAGCCAAATGCATTTATTTGAAATATGACAGGATTCGTGACTATCCAAATTACTATATGTTATTCTTTTTGAATACATTTTTAATTCCTAAAAGCCGGATAAGATTCATGAATCTGATCTTGAGAGTCAGTAGAGTGATTTTTCAAAATACTATTTAAGAACTGATTTGAGAACTTAATATAGGTACTGTGGTTAATTATCTTCCCTGATCGTTCCACCAAAAGTGTTCTCTAGTCTTTTGGATATTTAAATGTTAACTCTGATTTCAAGACCAATAAGTATTTTGAAAGTTCCGTAAAGACTTTGCATAGTTTGGCCTATTTTAGAATAAGAAAATTAATAGTATTGAACGCTCATAACACTTTCTCTGTTCTCCCTTCAAAGTAGCTCTATATCTAAATATTTATTATTAATTTGCTTTTCTTATACTCTACATGTGTACAAACCTTGATAGCTAAGCTTGGTATCTTTTTGGCACAAGTAGATTATTACACTAAGTTTTGAGAGTTGCACTTAAAAAAAAAGAAAACCTTCCAACAAACATAGCAATCTTTTAAGTGAGACCTACACAAAATGCTCTTTGTATCCTTTGGAGCATTCATTTTGCAAACTCAGTAACATTTCTCACGAAGATTTTAATTTACAGCTTACCTTTTGCATTCCTAGTTTTAAAAAATTTGAGATTTCTTTTATATTTCTTTATAGTGACTACTTTTTCCCCCTGTGTTTAGTAGGCATTTGAGGAATAATTGATTTTAATAAGTACAATCTGTCTATTAGATGAATATATAAGCCATCCTAGGTCAGTCAGGAATAATCAATGTTTATTATTATTATTATGAATAACCATGTCAAACTGAGTGGATAAACAAGGTTTGCTAAGAGTGCTTATGTAATTCATGATGGTTCCATAGCCTACATTTTAGAAAAAATGATATATAGCATAATACTAAAACCCCGATACAAAATCTCTCTATGCTATAGAATTGGATTATCCCACAGGTCACCTCATGAAGAATTAGACAAAGCTACCTCCTTTTTCCAGAAGAAAAGAAAAAAGTGCACTTAGAATAAGTACTGACCTTACAGCAAAGAGGCTTTACCTCTTGAATGTTCCTCTGGCCCCAGGTCATAATCAGATAGACGCACACACAGTATGGATTTAAGTGGTATGAGTGTGATTGGGTTATCCTTCCCAGGACCTAGCACAACACTTGAAATGTAGGAAGAGTTCAGTATTTATTCAATGAATGAATGAATGAATGGCTGCCAAAATCGAGTGTGCATCGGTGAGGTGCCTGCCATATGATTGAAGGGCTACCTGCCCTTATAGTCCATCAAACTGATAAGGTGAATGATTGCTGCTTATTTAATTACGGAAATATGAATTTCTCTTCAAATGTGTAGTAACATATTGCTGTACAACAAAATGCTTTATTTGTATTAATAATTTAAGAGACTGATCCTTCCAAATGGTAATGGAGATTACTGTCAAAGAAATACCACTTTTCATCCAAGCACAGAAATACAGAAAGACAAAACAGCCTGAAACTTATCCTTAAGTACAAAATAAATTTCTGCCCAGGGATACATGGCAGGAGTGGATACATGGCAGTTTTTCAACAAGGTTGAAAGGGAAGTGGAGAAGGAAAAATGACGTAAATAGCATGTGTTTTTTTACCCAGGCAACCATTGGTTCATCCAGGGAAAACCTGGTAAGAAATATAAGTCCCAAATGATTTCAGCATTTGGATGATAGTTGAAGTTAGATTTCAGAGATGTTGTGCAGAGGCCCTGGATGTGGTCAGGAAGTGGACACTGAAGTCACTGCAGAAGAATCTGTGTATCCAAGTTTAAGTGTATTGGTTTTTAAATTCATTCTCATATACTTTGTTTATCTACGTATATGTCTGAGCAGGAAAAGAAGATGTGCACATAAATTATGACGATTCTTAACCTGACAGTATTGGTTAAAAAAAATAGAGGCCTAGGAAACCACATGGGAAGAAGTGAGTGAGTACAATGTAGAAATTAAGGTACAATCAGCTATTGTAGATTGTACATAGCAGTGCTGATTTTCTAAATGATGAATTTATGCAGCTAAGCTGTGTCATAGAAGAGAAGGATGATGTGCTCTCCGGTAAGAATATTTTACTTTTCAAATAAAATCAGTGCAGCAGATATCTCAAAACTATTTTAAATGGAAGAAACAAAATATGTTATCTTAAGTTTTACCAAAATTTGCCTAATGCTGTATACCAAGATATTTAACAAATCTATTAGATGTGTTTAATCATGGCAGGTTTAAATGACTATGAATCAAAAAGTGCACATCTATTTCTACTTAACACTTCTTATCATAGAAAAGATCTCTTGACTGTGTTATAGAATAAAATTGTGGAAGCTCGTGTAAAAGTTAACTGCAAGAGACCCTGGGACCGGGGCTGGCATTGGGTAATGGACCAACTAGAAACTCTGAAGACAAAACAGTATTTTTCAAAGGTGGTCAGTCTGTGGCAATATTCTAATAATAGATTTTCAAGTGAATTAGACCTTTTATTCATTGATACTTTTTATATATCTGTTGGCGTTGAGTACTAATTTGTGACTAGTTTCAATCTTCCCGTGTCAACAATCACTTAATGGTTCTTTTGTATTGGGATTAAATCAGAGACAGAAAGTAGAAAAATTTTTATGATTGAAATTTTAAGCACATATATTTCTGCTTATTTTTTAATACTTTAACCTCAAAAGCTTCTCTCAAAATAAACGGGATAACGAAGATGAGGAACACAGAAAGACTGCAGGGTATTTATTCCTATGAGCATACTAAAAGCTTAATGTAGAAAAATTAAAATTTCTATGATTTACCCATGTGGAAAGTTAGACCATCACCCATGCCAAATCTTCAGAGATGTTGTTTATTACTGGTTCTGTGCTTGCATATGTCTCAAAATCTGCTAGAATTTAGGTTTAAATAAATGTGCAGAATTGTGCACATAATTGAAATTATATCATTTTAAAAGTGAAGACTATTTAATACTGTGGCTACATCCAGAGGACTGCTATCTGAGTTGCAATAAAATTCTGATAAGAGGTGGCATACATCTGTGATGTTTCCTAACCTAGGTTTTGATAGAGCCCATTCACAAAATTTGAAAATCAACCTAAAATTCACATGCACATTTGTTAAAGAGCTGTATCAGTTCAGTATTCCGAGACAATGAACTGGTGGTGATTACATATGAAGCATGAAACAGAGAATTAGGGAAAATGTTAAAATTAAAATTCCATTATATTGGCATCATTTATATAGATACTGATTTCATAAGAAAGTTCATATTCAGCTGACTTACTCCCACCCAAAAGGTTTCAATTTTATTAGAAATTTGTATCTATAGTTATCAAGGAAAATCTTTTACATGTCTTCCTTGAATGCCTTTTTTGGATTGAGTCCACCTTGAGTAAAACTGAAGTAAAAAGGATAGTGCAGAGTGACCTTGTTCTTAAAGTGACAAAGGGAAAACTAAGATTGTGCCTCTCTCAGAAAGACTTTAACAAGTCTTCTAGAATTAATGAATTTTTTTTTTAACGAGGAGATTGACAATTCATGTTAAAGTCAGATGGAAAGATATCTTCAAAGCATGCTACTTAACATTTTCTTTCTCACTTGTCCCTGTTCTCTACTCTTTTAAAGAACAAAAGAGCAAAGAATTTTTATTTTATATGTTCTCTATTTTATAATTCCTAAAATGAGGACTTTATTTAAAGGTTTATAATTTATACAAGTTGAATTGTAAACCATTACATGATGATACCATAAACTGAGTACATTTTGATTCTCTGGAAAAACAATTCATTCAGATATATACCATATTCATTTATATATCACTCATTTTCTTTATTGAGAATCAGAATTCTTTCATTTTCAGAAGTTTTAAATCAATCAGTTTAATATTATCAACAACCTAAATATTTACTGGATTACATATTTCTTCATTAGGAACGAGACTGTGACCCCAAGCCCCTTGCCTCCAACCTGTTTATTCATTTTCTCAACAGAGAGAAAGTAACAGAAATATTTACTGTGGGTGAAACTGGGATTAGAGAACAGCTTCGTATTTCTAGCATGCTTATGCCTTAATATATGAAACAGAACTGAGTCTGTTTTTTCAGTAAGTCTGTTTTGATGGAACAGTTTTATTATGGGAGTAAAGATAGGAAGGAAAGAGATCATCATGAGGAACAAAATCAGACTTTTCAAGCTTTTTGAGCATTTTGGAGATGATTCCACCTCTAAAGTTATTTTCAAAAGTTCAGCTCTTACATTCTTTTGTCAATTGCTTTAGAAAACAGAGTATTTTGGCCTCTTAAAGTGAACCAGATATCTAGACAGAAGGTAGCCAATCACCAAATTTCAATAGTCATTTGAAAATAGTTTCTTTATATATTTTCTGTTTGTGTAGAAGTCAAAGCGGTAATGTCAAACAGAGAAAAACGCATATGACTTACTGATACGCTCCAGTGTTCTTTCAACATTTGAAAAGGTACTATGTGAAGTAGGCGAGGGGACTGGGTGTAGAGAACATAAAGAAAGACATGGAGGGCACCTTGTACATTTCCAACTTGTTAAAATTCTTCATCCTTTTAGGCCATTCCACGGAATCAAAGAGAGGAAGGGACCACATTTATCTTTATACATGTGTCAGGAGGGCAAAACAAGGAGTAGCCTTGTTTTCTCTTTTCTCTAAGAGCAGGTGTTAAGTTCACTCAAGTCATCACTGACTACTAAATTCTCTTCCTTCCATATATATATATATATATGTATATGGAATTTGTATGAAATATTTTACTTCTCCCTCTTCTTTTACCAAATATTTATGTACAAATAGTGTAAAGTTGAACATTTCTTTACTCAAACAAGTTAAAAATAGGCACAGATTATCTTCATCCGTTTACAATAAATGAGTGTAAGTACTATTTATGTGGTATATTTAAGTAAGAACTGAAACCATTGGCACTTTAACCAATAATGTAAAGCTCAGCATAGAAAGCGTATGTTTCTCCATCTTTCCTATTCAGCCTCCTATCCCTACACCCTTGGTTAAATGGGAAGGAATACTTTTGTCATCTCTGTGTAAAGTTTTTTCGGAGTTATCCTAAGCATAGTTAAACACATCTTCCAGTATATTTTAAAGGTTGGTCTTCAGGATTGTGGAGGCAAAGAGTAAAAGAGACTTTGAAAACTACATCAAAATTTTGATGGCATTCAAGTCATAGCTAGTCTGTGTATTTAATAAATGTATGTTTTTCACGTTGTGTTTGTCAATGGAAAATAAAGTTGAATGTTCTGAAATGTTCCTGTCTTTTTTTCCTGATGCCAACTCATGTCAGGAATATTTTATTTATAAATGTGTTAAATATTTTGCTGAAATTCTACTTGACACGCTTTGTCAAATAACAGCACAATGTAATATGCAACAGCATTTTGCTAGCTGGATGATTATACCGTTTTGTTTTACATTCCATGATTGTGTACGGTACAAATTATCACTGATTTGCTGTAGATCTGAGGGGCTCTTTTCCCATTTTCAACATGATATCTATTCATGTTATAATCCCAGATTTTTTGTTTTTAATACAAAAGCACATTTATAAATCATTCTCAATTTAGTTAATTCTCTCTTTTGTGGGTTCTAGTGTAATCTATAGACAGCCAACCAAGGAATTGTCCTTGCTTATAGTCAGACCCTTTGATAGATTTGTACCTGGGTATTGGTATGAGATGATTACTGGCAGAGACACATTTTGGGCTGCCCCAATACCCTGTTCTATGTGTTCATTCAGGTCAATCTGCCTCTTCCTTCTTTAGTGAAGGGAGATGTTCTGTAGAATATAGGCTGCTAAGATAAGCTTAATAAAAGTAGCACATCAGGCTTGCCCTTCTTCCTCCTAAGAAAAGGTATTTAGGGAGAGCTCTGACAATGCCTTCTCCCCTGGGGTCCTAGCCTCCCAACCAGCTTTTATGGTCTTATAGTCTGTGCTCTGTAGCATCAGGTAAACATCATGGTGGTACCTTCTGGTAGACCAGAAATACCACTATGATGTTGTTGAACCTATATGCCATAAAATAGGACACTGCTCAGTTTCAGGTCCTTGGAGGACATGGGTTCAGACATCCTTAGATATTCTTGGGGGGTTGTTGTGCTCACCCATACCAGTTTTGAGCAAATCCAGTTTGGAGGTTGGGTACGCAGAATCCAAGCCAGTCCCCTGGGCTTGTTCTTTCCTTCAACATGTATTTGTTGCTGTACCTATTATGTGCCAAGCATTCTGGTTGGTGTTAAGACACAGGATTTTTTTCTAAAAAATCAGCTTTCAATGAATGTATAATCTGGTCGGGAAGAGGAAATAATTTGATAAGAGCTGCTTTTAGAGTAAGCGTACAGCGAAAGTAGGAAACCATTTCCTGTAGAAGATGAGAGTTAACCTGCATTTTGGAGAAAGGAATGGATGGTAATTGGGAAGGGGAGGGCATTTTGGGATACTTTTTCACTTCATACTGTCCCAAATTATCATTTCCAAGGCATTCAAGCTAACTAACTTCTAGGGGCCCTGTGAGAAGTATAGGTCTAAATAGAGCATATATCTATAGCCTCTCAGGTTGGGCCAAAGTGGCATGGCCTTGGGGCAGGATTTCTCCTCAGCCCCTTGGCATATTGGACCAAATAATTCTTTGTTATGGGGGCTGTCCTGTGCATTGTAGGCTGTTTAACAGTATCCCTGGCCCCTACCCACTAGATGAGAGTCATACTTCCCTAGCAGAGACGATCAAAAAAATGTTCCCAGCCATTGCCAAATATACTATGGGGGACCTAACTTCTCCCAGTTGAGAATCCCTGCCTTAGGGCAAGGGCCATGGCCATCGCGAAGGTGCTATATGTGTCTGAGGGTTTGCAGAAAAGGCCATCTATGGGATCTTGGATCTGAGAGGCACCATTCTGGCATTTCCCGAAGTGGCAGGCACTAGAATGCCAGTTTGTATCTACTGCACAAAAATGTGGCATTACCACTACTACAACGCCCGGATCATCACGGGCCCTGATCCACTTCTGTAATCACATAAACCTATCCACAAATGAGGAGGTACAGTTTCTTAGAAAGTATCACCTTTCTATTGATGTTTCTAATCCCTATTTTGTTCTTGATAAGAAGCCATGGAGTTATATGTCTCTCAAAGGGAAATCTAAAGGGAATGAGTCCATTTCTCCCAGGACATTTGAAAATCTGTTTTAATTCCTCTTAAGTTCACATTTCCAGACACGTGCCTTAGGAGGAGAGAACTAGTTTACCAAACTCTGTCTTTTGTGGGATTTTGGCATATTTGGTCAGTGTCACAGAGCTGTTGCAGCTTTAATCTGAAAGATGATTTTTATCAAAGAGCTGTTCCAACTCTGGGCAAATGTCTCTTTATTGGCCTGTGTTTTTCTGAGCTCATGCCAGTGGGCCAGTACCTCAAGTATAGAGCAATTACCACACATTTTGAAGACAAAGTTCAACTCACGATCTCTGTAACTAACACTTAAACCTGTGGTTTGTATGGAATGGGAAGCTGAAAAACTTAAACCCCAAATCTGACCCAAAAAAGTTAGAACAGTACTCATTGGTCTACTGTAAATTTCTGAGGCCAAGTAAGAAATGTCTATGGATAATCAGTGTTTATGCCTAATATTCTTATGCAGTTTTTAAAAGAAGGCTTTGAATATAATATATAAGGTTGTTTGAATTTCACTTTGACAAGAACATGGGAAGAACATAATTCTGAAACAATTACCACCAATTGGGGTCTTTTCAAATTAAGATTTAACTAGAACGTACCTGATAGAACACTGGCTTTTAATCACTTTGGGATCAGGGTCCCCTTTGGCAATCAGATGAAAGGTATGGATCCCCTCCTCACAAAAAGCACAGACAATTTTTACACAGTGTCAGAGACTGTACCGCCCTCCTGAGTTCTGTCTGTGGACGCCTTGGAAATTTATGGACACAGGTTAGGAATTCTCACTGTGAGAGAGTCTTTATGATTCAAGGAACTTCACGGCTTTCCATGTTTGGTTAGAAAGCTAAAATCTAAAACTGGAGTTTTAAGTCAACAGAATTACTTCCTTGTGAATGCCAAAATTCCCTGACATCTCATTATATGCCCGTAATAGTAAAGCAACATAATCAGGGATAGAATTATTAAAAGAGGAGCTGCAATCTTTTCAAAAATCTTGCCATCACACGGGTAAAAGAAAATAACACAATCCCAACCAGAAGAGGGGCCGCATAGGCTACTCACGAAAAACAGGTCGAAAGCGAAAGTACCTTTTTTTTTTAACTTCAAGTAATTCAGTGATGCATTTGTCTTATAACAAAGAGCTTGTTTCAGTTTTCCCTTGTGCTGACCCAACAAGAGATTTAAAATGAAGCTATTTAAAAGTCAATTAAAAAAATCACCCCACCTGAAAAATACAATTACCTAAACACAAAAAATCTGAATGGTTAGAATTTAACTTTCTGTTACTTTCTGTTAATAACTCTGTTATGTTACATGTGTATATGGATACATACACATTTACACTTCTGCATGTTCTTTGCATTGCAATTTAGAAGGAAGGCAGCAAGGATGACCTTATTGATTGATCCTTACAGTGAGAATGCAAGGCATACACTTACAGATCTTCCTACAAATGTAAAATTAATGACGCTTTACGCCAAAACTTAAAGCTATTAGTAAAATGCTGTATTGATGTTTATAGTTTGTGTTTCTCTACAGGGAAAAGTCTAGAGCAATTAATGACATCTATCTTTGCATTTTTCTAGCCTTATTGAGGAAGATGGAAATGAGATCTTAAAGCACTGGAGTATTTGTCTATTGGAAACAACTCTTTGATAACAAACCATCCTACATTCTGGGTGTTTGTACATGAATTGGACAGCTCTATGAGGTGTGCGTAAAATTGCAAGTCGATTATCATGAATCAGTGATTTGGAGTCTTCTCCCTTAGAAGATCCATGAAAAGCCATTTTTAGAAGAAAAGCTATTTGTATTTTTTCTTTTTTTTTATTATGTTATGTTAATCACCATACATTACATCATTAGTTTTTGATGTAGTGATCCATGATTCATTGTTTGCATGTAACACCCGGTGCTCCATGCAGTACATGCCCTCTTTAATACCCATCACTAGGCTAACCCATCCCCCCACACCCCTCCCCTCTAGAACCCTCAGTTTGTTTCTCAGAGTTCATAGTCTATCATGGTTCATCTCCCCCTCCAATTTCCCCCCTTCATTTTTCCCTTCCTACTATCTTCTTCTTCTTTTTTTCTTAACATATAATGTATTATTTGTTTCAGAGGTACAGGTCTGTGATTCAACAGTAGCACATACCCTCCCCAGTGTCCATAACCCAGCCACCCCATCCCTCCCACCCCCACCACTCCAGCAACCCTCAGTTTGTTTCCTGAGATTAAGAATTCCTCATATCAATGAGGTCATATGATACATGTCTTTCTCTGATTGACTTATTTCACTCAGCATAATACCCTCCAGTTCCATCAACCATGTTGCAAATGGCAAGATTTCATTCCTTTTGATGGCTGCATAATATTCCAGTGTATATATATATATATACCACATCTTCTTTATCCATTCATCTGTCGATGGACATCTTGGTTCTTTCCATAGTTTGGCTATTGTGAACATTGCTTCTATAAACATCGGGGTGCACGTACCCCTTCAGATCACTACATTTGTATCTTTGGGGTAAATACCCAGTAGTGCAATTGCTGGGTCGTATGGTACCCAGTAGTGCAATTGAGGAAGCTCCGTACTGTTTTCCAGAGTGGCTGCACCAGCTTGCATTCCCACCAACAGTGTAGGAGGGTTCCCCTTTCTCCACATCCCCGTCAACATCTGTCGTTTCCTGACTTGTTAATTTTAGCCATTCTGACTCATGTGAGGTGGTATCTCATTGAGGTTTTGATTTGGATTTCCCTGATGCTGAGTGATGTTGAGCACTTTTTTCATGTATCTGTTGGCCTTTTGGATGTCTTCTTTGGAAAAATGTCTGTTCATGTCTTCTGCCCATTTCTTGATTGGATCATTTGTTCTTTGGGTGTTCAGTTTGATAAGTTCTTTATAGATTTTGGATACTAG